AGCTCACCCCATCCCCTGTGCCCATCCCCGGGCATGGTCTGCACACCGCGCTGTGCACCCCTTTTTGCTCACCATCACCACCACGGCTCTCGGGGTGTCACAGGCTGGCACTGGGGTCCAAATTTCCATGCCCCAAAGTGATGCCAGCCCTGCCAGCTGTGCCCCCACCCCACCATCAGGTCAGTTTAAAATGTCCCATTCCTTCCTCCACCCGGGCACCCACCCACCAGGAAAGACTCCAGACAGCCAAATCCAAATAAACCGTGTTTATTCCAAACGAGACTTTACTAACGAGGCAAAGAGCTGGGGCCAGGCCTGTGGGACACTGACCTGTGCCCCACAGAGCACAGGGATCTGTGACACTGACCTGTGTCCCACAGAGGACAGGGAGCTGTGACACTGACCTGTGCCACTGACCTGTGCCCAGGGAGCTGTGACACTGACCTGTGCCCCACAGAGGACAGGGAGCTGTGACACTGAGCTGTGCCACTGACCTGTGCCCTGTAGAGGACAGGGATCTGTGACACTGAGCTGTGCCCTGCAGAGGACAGGGATCTGTGACACTGACCTGTGCCCTGTAGAGGACAGGGAGCTGGGGCCACCACCAAGGCTGGCACACAGCAGGACCTGGCACACAGCAGGGCCTCTGCCCCAGCCACAAGTCTCCAGATTTGTTTCCCTCTTTGGGGACACAATACTGGCCAGGGCCTGGGTCCTGGGACCCCACCAGACCCCAGAGACCCCAAAAGGCACCAACAGGGACCCATCCCTGCGGCTGGGGAGAACCAAACCCTCCCAAGGCAAGGCAGTGGTGTCTGCTGGGCAGAGAGGGTCTGGAGGCACTGCCCAAGGCACTACACAAACACGGAGATGCTGAGAGCTTTAAAACCACCCTCAGGTCTCTCCCAGCCCTTAATTTTCTCTGCTTGGCACTTCATCCCTTTCAAAATAAAACTAAAGAGCTGCAAGAAGGCACAGCCCAGCACAGCAGCTCCAGCGTGCAGAGCGGAGGCTGAGGCAGAGCTGGGGCTGTCCCCAGCCTCGAGGGACAGCGCCACGGTGGCAGCAGCACAGCCAAGGCCACCTCAGCTGAAGTCCCGGTCTGGCAGCAGCAGTGGAGCCACCAAGGTCCAGAGGTAGAGCAGGAGCCCGGCCCAGCTGGAGGAGATCTTCACCCACACGGCCGTCCAGGGGCTGCTCAGCACCTGCAGGCTCTCGTCCGGCCTGGAACAGCCACGGGAGGGTGGCACCATCGCTGTGACACCCTGACGGTGCCACAGAGGGACGGGGGCCCCAAGGGAACACGGGGGTGCCCCATGGCTGCTGCCACCCCTGAGTGTGACCCCAACACTGGAGTCAACCCTGGATGTGGCCCCAACACTGAAGCCACCCCTGAGTGTGACCCCAACACTGGAGTCNAGCCATTCCCTGGCTCCTGTCCCTCCATCCCTGTCCCCAGTCCCTCTGCAGCTCTCCTGGAGCCCCTTCAGGCCCTGCAAGGGCTCTGAGCTCTCCCTGGAGCCTTCTCCTCTCCAGGGGAGCACCCCCAGAAATGCCTCAGCTGCTGCTGCTTGTGGGAATTTTCCCCTTTGGAGGTGACATCACCAGGTAAAGGAAGTTTTTAGTCCCTCATGGCTCTGTGCCTGTTCCCCTGTCCCAGATCTCTCGTGGTTCCTCCCTTTTCCATCAGCCCCGTGATGCCCAGCCCTGGCTGAGGAACCCCAGGGGCAGTTCTGGGTGCCACCTCCCGGGGACATGGGACATCCCTGCAGCCTCTGCATGACAGGCTGAGCTCAGGGTGGTGCCCAGGGAGCTGCTTCCCTCCCTCGTCCCCCTGCAGAACGCAGCGTGTCTGGGCTCAGGCATGGATTGTAATTGCTGAGAGGCAAATGCAGAACAGCCACAGCCCTGTGGGGATTTCAGAATATTCCCAGAGAGGGAAATGGGGCTCAGACTGCCCGTGAGTCCCACTCACATCATGCTTAGTTCTGGGGGGTTTTGTGCCATCAATCCTTTCTTTTCCTTTTTCCTTTCCCCTTTCCTTTCCTAATTTTTTTTTTTTTTAAATTTATGCCCAAAATAGAGCCAGGAAGGCTCAAAAGCAGCCAGGCTCCCCCATGGGGAGCTCCTGGGGTGCCTTGCACAGCTCGGGATCAGTGTGGGCAGATAAATCCAGAGTGATGGCTCAGGTGGCACCAGAACAACCTGCCCTGCTGGAATCCCAAACCCAGGGAAGGCACAGGCAGCACAGCCAGGGTCACCCCAGTGCCCTGCCTCGGTTTCCTGGCTCGTTTTGGGGTGTACAGGGCCTGGCATTGGGGTGGAACTGCCAGGGGATTCCTGATGAAAACAGAGCAAAGAAGATTGAACATTCTCCTGGAAAGAAACGGTGGGGGGAGACGTGATGGGGAAATAAACCTGGCAATGCCATCCTTGCCAGAACCTTCTGTGCAGGGACATGGGTACAGGGTGTAGGATGTAGGGTGAAGGGTGCAAGGTGAAGGGTGATGGGACACAGGGGTGTAGGGACACAGGGATGTAGGGTTAAGAGTGCAGGGTGAAAGGTGCAGAGGGGTAGGGTGTGGGAAGAGGGTTACAGGGAGCCGGATGGGGTCGCTGGGTGCAGACTGGGAGTCACTGGGCGCTGGATGGGGTCCCTGCGTGCAGGATGGGGTCCCTGGTTGTAGGATGGAGTTACTGGGTGCAGGATGAGGTCACTGGGTGTACACTGAGGGTCCCCGGGTACAGGATGGGGTCCCTGGGTGCAGCATGGGATCACAGGGAGCAGGATGGGGTCCCTGGTTGTAGGATGGAGTCACTGGGTGCACGATGGGGTCCCAGGGTGCCAGATGGGGGTCACTGGGTGCACACTGAGGGTCCCTGGGTGCAGCATGGGATCACAGGGAGCAGGATGGAGTCACTGGGTTGCGGATGGGATCCCTGGGTGTCGGGTCGGTGCCGGCTCGGTGCCGCTGTCGCT